CAGAGTAAACAAACAGAGTAAACAGGTATGTGTGTGTGTGTGTGTACAGGAACAGGAAGTAGAAACGCGCTCTATCCGAGTGTCTCCGTCTATAAATCTGAAACCTCAGGTGAGTTCCTCCAGACCTCCTTATTTCCTTCTTCTCTTCCTTTTTTTAATTGTCCTCCTTCTGCTCTTCCTCTGTGGTGTCTGACAGCAGCAGCTCTCAGTCTGATATTAAATCTGTTTCTGTTCATTCAGGTTTGAGGCTGCAGCTCCCTCTAGTGGCCACTGCAGAGACTACAACACAAACAGACTCAAATAGGATTTATATAATAATAATAATAATAATCACAGTAATAATAATAATAATAGATGAATCAGGTAATCTTGCACTAGCTGTTGTGAGTAATAAGGTAAAAGTGCAGTTAATACCCTTCACATATCTGGGACAGGCCTCTATATGGGACAGGTCTGTCATTTCTTTAACACAAAACTCTTGCTCAGCAAAAATGGGAAATACTCTCAAACAATTTATTCAAAATAATATGAATATTACCCCAATTTTTAGGTTATGGAATAACAAATCAATTGTGAATCATTTATTTGGTTGAATTGTTGAGAATCTAACTATGTCCAATTTATATTTGTATGTACGATCTGAGCAGCTGTAGGGTGACCTGGGGGGTTTTAAGAGGTTTTATATGTCCAAAGAATTTCTATAAAAGAGAGACCAGGTGTCCTAATTGAGACCTGCATTTATTTGTCAAAAAGTGTGGCCACACAAGGCTACTAAACAGGGACCTGCTTCTAAACTGGGACCCGGCTTTTAATTGGAATGTTACCGTATGCAGATATACATATATGGAAAGATATTTCTCATTAATAGCTTGTCCACATAAAAGTATTGGAAACATTCAGTCCAATGAAGTCCTCAAACAACAACAGTTTTGACTGTTGATGAATTTGTAGGTTTTCTTACTCCATTAATTATTTGTACGGTCTATAAAATGTCAGAAAAGGCCAAAGTGAGATCTTCAAATGTCTTGTTTTATTCCAGCAACAGTCCAAAAGCCAAAGATGTTCAGTTTACTATCTATTTGCTATTCACTAAGTATGACAATGAATAATGCTTGAATAATGACTTAAACAATTATATATTTATAAAATTATTGTTTAGGTTATTTAGAGTCAGACAGTTTCTGTTTCCAGCTTCTTGAATGTGAGGATTTGCTGCTTTGTTGACTGAATGTCTTTCATCGGGTTTCGACTGTTGGTTGAACAAAACAAGCATTTGGAAGATGTCGCCTTGGGGAGATTGTGGTGGGCATTTATTACTGATACTTTACTGACTAAACAACCAATTAGTGAACAATATAATATCCACAAAGGTAGTATTTATGGCAGGGCTGCTTTACTGGAAGTTTTTACATTTCTCTGGTCAATCTGGTCCCTTTTATCTAACTCTGGTTCTATCAATTATATTTATTTGTAGAGACTAAAAAAGATGTTGTAGATGTTCTAATGAGGGTCTACTTTCGACTATTCTGATACAGTTTTCCTGTATCAGGTATGTTGTTTTGTATTTCCAAGACCTACCTTCTTGCTGCAGTAAACATTTAATTGTGTTATTTATGGTTCAGACAGCAGCTATCCAATATGCCCAATATTAAGTTGAGAGCTCTATTATAAAACCTGTAGTCATCCGGCCTCTGGTGTAGTGATAAAAATGGGAAATGGAAAATTCATGGGAGATTTGCTTGTAACACAGTAAAAAAACAAAAAAAAAGACATTCATTTTCAGATTTACAAAAATGGCTCTTACTACAGACTTACTGTATTTTAAGGTGTTTCTGATATTTTGTCCAACTCCTGTCTGCATTTAACCCTACTGAGTTCCCACACTTTAGAGATCATGAATTAGCCTACAATTGGATCTCACTAGATGCAGTTAAGGGTCACATTTTAGCCTTTATCTTCTTGAGTTTCACAGATACTAACTGGCTGTTACAGTCAAAGAAGGCTTTCCGATCACTTAACTTTAATGTGAAATGTTGTTAATTTATTTCATGACCAACAAACATACCTTGAATTTTATCTCTTAGATTTGTAGATGTGGCTCGAACATTATTAACAGGGTTTCGTACAAAGTCCAGAAACTTTGGAAAATGCTTATTCTGGTGTTTCAGCTACACAATCAATTTTCAATTTAATTCAATTTAATTTGCATAGCGCCAATTCATAACAGAAGTTATCTAAATAGAGCAGTTCTAGACCGAACTCCTTATAATCATCAATCATCTAAACTTCTGGAAAATTAGCGAGCATTTAATACCCATCATCAAACATACAATCAAATTCATTAATATGAGTAGCTGGTAAAATAAACAAACATGACAATATACATTGATTGCTGTGGTTATAAAAGTAATTCTGTAAACTTTATTTTTTGCAATTGCATTTATAATAACAATTTTAGATATGATGATAAAGGCTTTGAGAGTCTGGAAATGTTTAGGTTTAGGTACTTTTAAGTGTTTGAATTTTACTCTTAAAAAACTGTATAAATCCTGATTATAATTCCAGAAACTTGTTGAACTCAATCAACACAAAAGCAACTTTCAGATAATCTTGCCAGCAATATTAAACCTCCAGCAGCACCTCAGGAGGAGGAATAAAACCACTGGTTAAAGTAAAGCAACCAGTTTCATTGTTCTTCCTCCAAGCCTTTGTTTTTTTTTTTTTTTACTTTGGTTTCATCCAAACTCTTTCTTCCTGCTGGTTTATGTTTCTGATTGCTGTTTTGTGGACTCGTCACGGCAGTTTTTAACCCTGCTCGTTTCTCGTCAGGCCAGTTCGGATGGAGGTGTGTGCGGCTCCCTCACTCCTCATCACGTCCGCGCCCATTCCTCCCCTGCCTCCCTCCCAGTTAACTCTCTCTCCACTCAAGCAGCCGATGTAGCAGCAACAGCGATCATACCTGACGACGTGCCACTCCCCCATGGTTGGGAAATGGCCAAAACGCCTACCGGCCAACGTTACTTCCTCAAGTAAGGTCTAACTTCTGTTTATCAGTGTGTTTAATCTGTTGCTCTGCAGGTTACTTGAAAGGTTACAGATCCAGAGAGTCAATCCCACCTTGCTCTAACGTCTACATTTCTATATTGGCACTGATCCTATTTACAGCTGCAACTAATGATTATTTTTATTTTATTTTATTTTATATCTAAAAAATATCAGAAAATAGTGAAAAAAAAAACACTCCTCAAATCCCCCGAAGTTGAAGCTGATGTCTGATAAATCAAAAAAGGTTCAATTAACAATCATATGAAACAGAGAAAAGCACACATTTAAGCACATTTTCTGCTTGATAAATTACTTTTTATTATTCAAATGATCAGAATGGTTGTCGAAGAATTGTATCTAGATCATCGAACCGATTAATCAACCAACAGTAACTGTTTTGAATGCAACAGGTGTAGTTATTTACTTTCCTTTTTTATTTCAGTTAAAGAAAAATAGTACACGGTGCATCCTTCTTGAATATTTTGCTACAGATAATTAAAAGTAAAGGGAAACAGTGAACAGAGACAAGTAGCAGTGCAGATAAAACCAGGAGTCAACCTAATCAGTTCCATGTAAACAGAAAATGTTCCAACTAGTTTTGCAACCAGTGTGGTTTCAGCCAGTTTCCTTCATGAGAGCACATGGCCTGACAGCCACTGGAGCACAAACAGTGATGATTGTATGTGAGACCGTAGATGTACGTGCGCATCTGGTAGTACAGGTAAAGCAGGTCCGAGGCAAAACGTGCCTGACACTTCTCATCTATCAGGTTGCAAGCGGTGTAACAGATACAGATATGTTTAGACTTGTTGTGTGTTTGCAGTCACGTGGATAAGACAACTACTTGGCACGACCCCCGACTTTCACAGCTTCAGTCGGCTGCAGCTCAGCATCCTATCTCTGGCACTCCGGTCCACGCCCACTCTCTCAGCAACCCAGCACCCACTACGCAACCACAAAACATCAATCCAGAGACAGGTATCACTCTCACACCCCCACCCCCCTCCCACCTCACAATCCAGTTTCTTACAGACCTGATTTTCATAGTTCTACTCCATCGGCAACGGGTCAGGTTTTTTTGCTGGGTGTGATTTCTTCGGGATTCCCTTTTGGTCTTTACATCCATGGCTCTGGTGACTTTGGTGGGAATTATCACATTCATAGATTAAAGCCTAGGCTGAACTTCAGTGACTATGTCTATGATGGAAACGGCTACAAAAAGAGAGATGGGACTCTCAAGATTGATGTATTAGTGAGAGCGTCCCACAAACTGAGAGAAATCTTAATTCTCAGATAAACAAAACAAATGTGTTTTTTCTTATTTAGATGCACGTTTTATAGCTAGTTGGACCATTGTTGTCTTTGCATAAATTCCACTCATGTCAAAATTTTGAAGGGTCGGTTCATCCAAATTACAAAAAAATCCTTTTTTTTACCTAAACTCTGTTGTGTTTTTTTGGGGGGGAGGGGGTATTTTTGCTTTTATGGGATGGATACAATAGAAAGCTGACAAAAAGTGTGAAGAGACAGAGATAAGGGAAGATCTCCAGCTGGACTTGGTCAGCACCTTACAGGGGAGGTTTTCCAAGTCTGTCTAAAAACAATATTCAGGTGCCTGTATAAACATACAAACAGGTTTCGCTTGATGTAATTATTTCTCCTGTTCATGCTGGACATACTAAATTGTTTATAATGATATGAACTCAGACCTCTGAAGCCTCAGACAAACTTTTGAAAAGGACTGTGGCTTTTGTCTCCCATCACTTGCATCATATCAGGAAGGGATCTTGTTAAGTCCAATATGAACAGGAAGGATGATTACAACAAATATTGTTTTCAAATGTGACCTGATTATTGTTTTAAGACAGGCTTGAAAAATGGTGAAGCTAACCTTTAAACCCCTGGGCCTCAAGAGTACCCCTGTTCACCCTCAATATACAGTCTGGATAATGAAAGTTGTGGCTCATGGTATTCAGAAGTAAAATAACAATTAAACACCATTAAAGCAGCTATAATCAGTGTCTTTATGTTAATGAGTAACATGACTACTTATACTTACTGATGAAGCCACAGAAAGTCTCTGTGCAGAAACAGAGCTAAAAGAGAGTTAATATTGGACTTACGTTCACCAGGGCACAGAAACAACTGTTTGCTAACAGGTTCACTATAACAGCTTAAGTTGTTTTGTTTTTCCAGTTTGTTTCTGCTGCCCTCAAGTGGCCAAAACATCAATGAATGCAGGATTAATGATAATTAAGTGAAGTGTTTTTCCAGAAATAGTACCAGTTACTCCAGATAATCCACAGACCTGCTGTGAACAGTTTTCATTTAAACTACTTTCTACTGTAGAAACAGTCCCTCAATGTGTTATGTGGATTACTGATAATAATAGGGACAGTGTTTCTGTAAAGAGATGTTGCTGTTGAATGTAATTATATTGTAATTTGGCTGAACAGACCCTTTTTAAGAATAAAACAATTTGCAATCTCTCTTTTTTCCACAAAGGGCACTGTTGGCAGTATTAGACACTTGTCTCATTTACTGTAGTGTTTTACACTATCCCACCACCCTTCAATTAAGGCAAGAACATACTATACTGTAGCTATTTACCCACTAACCTTCACTTCTATTAATAAAATCTCTACAAACTAGAAGCTACACAGACACTAAAGAACGTGGGCCAGATTCTACTTTTTACTCTCCATGCACTCCATCCACCATTTGCCTTCTCACTGTGTACTTTCACTGCTGTTCAGGTCCACTGCCTGAAGGCTGGGAGCAGGCTGTGACTGCAGATGGAGAGGTGTACTACATCGATCACATAAATAAGACCACCGCATGGGTCGACCCGCGTCTAGGTAGCACACTATCAAATTTGTGTCTCCTGAATTGACATCTTGTTTGTCAATGACAAACATTTTGTTCCAATGTCCACCATCACAAGTTGCTGTCTGGCAACGAAAATAAGAAAGATCGCAAAGTTTTGAAATGTTTTCCTCATGTTTTTCATTGCTGAAATATTTGACCTCCATGGGACTATTTACTTAATAGTCAAAAAAGTTCTCTTCCTTTGAATCTTATGTTGCAGCCCAGAAGATGAACCCCGGCATCCTTGGATTGGCACTGCAGCAAAGGCAGGAAAAGGAAAGGCTCAGATGCAAACAACAAGGCCTTCCTCAGCAAATCACACCACAGGTCAGAGATCAAATAAAATTATACTTGGATGAACACACATTTAAGTTATTTCTTGTAATATCTAGTTTTACGGTATATTCAGTTCAGATTTAACGGAAATTAAATAGTTTTTTCATGTGAACAGAGTTTGAGTTTTACATGACATTTCACAAACAGGTGTGTGTGTGTGTGTTGTAGGAGGCAGGAGGTAGGAACCAGATGCCCGGTGGGATGGACCATGACAGGAACGCACAGACGCTTGTCCCGTCTCTGGATGTCAGGATCAGAGGTTCAAACCATGAACCCACACTTAATGGGTGAGTTCTTGTTTAATATTATTGTCATGTGCTGTAGATCTCCTTTTAGTTATGGTCATAAAGGGACAAAAGTGGAAAAAGTATTTATAACCTCCACATAGCAGTAACACAGTGTAGAAATAATCAATTAAAAGCTAGTTTTCTTGAGTATTAGCTGTAAAAGTAATCTAAGGAATGCCCTTTTCTGAATGTAACCAAATGATTACATTTCTTTTGCTGCCACTACCATAAAGTGGAGATAAACAGAATTCCATTTGTGCTTAAAGCATTCAAAATGATATTTGAAAGACTCAACAGCAGCAAAATCTAGAAAAGATGTCCCAGTTACTCTGAACAATCTCACTGCCAGCAGTTTTTATTAAGAATATTTCTCTGACAGAAGCTAGTAAACTATATTGTTCCAGGAAGAATGATTGTCTATGTGATTTCCATGAATTGTTCTGTCATTTCAATGATTATGCAGCATTTTTACTATAACAGATGATGTCGGTGTGTGTTTTTTGTGTGTGTGTTATTGTGCAGCGCTCACTCTCGCAACGAGAGCACCGACAGTGGTCTGAGCGTCAGCAGCTTACCCCGCTCATCGGACCACATGTTGAGCTCTGTGGATCATATGGACACTGGTAATACTCACGTGCACACACGAGCACACAACAAAGTCAGAAAGATAACCCAGAGGTTTCCACAGTGGAAAGGCAGCTTTTCACTTTGTTTTTGAAAATCATCCAAACTCCATAATAAATATGTGTATTTTTAAGTAACGATGAACACAGTGTCCAGATGTGCTAGTGTTGATCTAAACATACTCTGCAGCCAAAGGGAAGCAGTTTATTTTGGGAGTAAATATGTAATAAATTTGGCCACAATGACGTGGTATTGTCTTATTTAGTTGTAATATCTTCCTCTCAAACTATGGTACGTGTACCATCGGTGGTACGGGAGCTACCTCTAGTGGTAACAGAGGAATCTCTGAAATATTTAAAACATATTTAAAACATATAATGCTATCAAAATACTTCAACATTTTGAATTAAAATACTTAAATATGAGATCACTCAAATGTTTATTCCTAATATTAATAGGAATACACCTGTCTCCTCCTCTGTCCTTAGTTGAATACAGTTGGCCTACGTTACAAGACAAGAAATAATAATTTATGTAAATTTATTTTGGAATCGACAAAAAATATTGTGAAAAGCACCCCTCCGAACATTTATTTTTAGGCTATTATACAGAAGTGGTCGATGGAAAACATGAATTTGAAATGCATTTTATTCATTTAAATACACACTTCCTGGGGAAAAAACATTTATACATCATACTGGTCGAAGTGCAGCTGTATTAAAAGACACAATGTAAAAAATGTTTATGCAAATTCAAAAATTTCTTTTAGCTGACTGTTGATATTTAAATTCTGCTTTTGTGACTTCTTCAGGCGACTCTGGCGAGACCTCCTCGATGACCTTACAGGAGTCGATGCCTGTGCTCCCGATGTCTGAGGGCGAGGAGCTAATGCCCTGCATCCCCGAGGGTCTCAGTTCAGACCTTCTGATGGACATGGAGACCGTTCTCTCTGGGTCGCACATGGACAGAGACAGCCTGCTCACCTGGCTATAGACACACCCGGCCACCGCCCCCCAAATGTGGTTTGACGTCAAATCTTCATAACGTGACTGAGAAATCTGGAGAATCGAAAGTGGTACAGAACAACATTGCTGAGAGAATATGCTACTGTTGTGTGATGGATACCTAACACTACTCGCACCCTGAGGAATGAAAAAAAAACCCTGACTCTCACAGAGGGTGGTAGGCTGCTGGTATTCTCCTCTTTTTTGGGCCTGGTTTTACAGAGATGCATGACGGAGCATCTATATTTTAGAGACACTCCTTTCTTTTTAGTCATCGGCCTCAGATGATGCTCCCCCCACGTCTCTGGTAAAGTGCGTCACAGCTAATTTTAGAGTAAAGATTTATTTTATTAGCCCCACTTGGGTAACACTGATTGCAGCAGACTTTTTTTTAAAAACACAGTGTAAAGTCATGAAGTTTGCATGTAGCAAAAGAAGACTATAACACAAAAGATCTCTCTAAAGTAGAGTTGTTCCGAAACTGATACCAGTATTGTAAATTGCTGCGGTACTGCCTAAAATGTGGTATTAGGTATCAGCGAGTACAACTGTCCAATAGCATGTAATGTATTAGCCCCAAAAGGGGACTCTGCTGGGAAGTAGCAGGGTACTGTTCGTATTTTCAAGTCATGTCGCCCTATTTTGACTCTGACAAAGTGAGGCAGGCCAAACAATGACAGCAATCATACAGGCTTAGTAGTGAACGCTTGTTAAAAAAGAAGATATATATTTCTTTTGAACGCAGATACAAAAAGTTCAGGCATCAGAATCGGTATCGTGAAGGAAAAATTTGTATGGGAACATCTCTACTGTAAAGATATTTAACAGTAACTGAAAACATCATATCCACTTGTAGTGCATGTAGTGCTACTGCCTCTAAGCAGCCTGTAATTTGTCAGTTTAATGCTCAGTCATACAAAATATGTTCTTAAGAAGCGTCAGGACTGAGAGCATGAGATGAATTAAAGAATTTACCTGGATTAACACTACATTGGTTCCATAAAACCAAAAATCTGCTCAAAAAAGGCTTGTTAAAGCTCGTGCTACCAATGCTACGCAGACATCAGGGGCGGGACGCACCCCTTGTGGTGAGCTAGTAGCGGATGAAGAACACTAACAAGAGTCCCATTTAACTTTAGAAACAGTCAGTCAAAATGCTTACAAGCCAAAAAACAGTATTAAAATCCCTCTGTGTGGAAGACTGTAGGGCTGCTCAAGACCAAGATTGTAATATCTTTAAGGTGTTTTTTAAATTAAGTTAAGGAGGATAAACTTAGGTCACAGTGAAGACCTCATTCCTAACAAATCAAAGCCTGTTAAAAGCCGCCAGAAATAAAGGCTACAGGCTAGTGCCACTATGTAGAGGAGTCTTAACTTTGGGCACTAAAAATACAGTAAAGTGTGTTTTTAGGAGCACTGGACACGTGTTCAGTATAATGCAATCCAACACAATACAAGGTTTCCCCCTGCAGATTGTGATCCTGAAACTGTTAATAGATGGCAGCCTAAACTATAACCACAGTAGACTTATGGCCTTTGCTGTGTGAAATAGCATATAAAAGTGTGTTAATTGTTACATTAGTTCAACTTCGCTTTATAACACTCCAGGAAACCATGCACCGGCCTTGCTACACTTTACCTTACTAATATTCAGGTTTTGTTAGTATTGTGTTTGAGTTTTTGTCGTATTGGATTGCATTTTATTGTGAAGTGTTCCAGACATTTTGTCCACTCCAGCATTGAATATAAGCTTCACAAAGGTAGTATTTATTCGAGATTTGTTTTATTGGATTACATTATATTGTACAGTTGTAGTGTTAAGAAATGGTGCCACATAATTGTCATCACAACCTGTACATGTTCTCTCCTTAGTGTGCAGCAGAGATTTAAGCACTTTCTACTAATCAGTGCTGATACAGCTCTCAGCGGCTCTGAAACATAAACATAAAAAATATTCAATTTATCAGCCAGCAACTTTCAGAGGCTGTTAAGCTGTTTTATTCCCTTTTCTCATTTTTCCCACTATTGGCTCGATACATTCCTCACAGTTTCCTTTTTTCACATTTATTCATTCAGTGGCATCATAAATGTTCCTCCCACAGAAAGATATACAACCAGTAACCGTCTCAGCCAAGTTTTCGCTCCTTAACTACAAATCATCTACACTTGATACTTTTGCTGACCATTTTTGAATGCATGCAGTACAGACTTAGCCATTCAGATGCACTTTTCTCACTATTTCAGGCATCCATTGTTTTCAGTTAATTTCCAAAATCGATGAGCAGACTCTTGAAACTTGCTTGAATGATGTCATCGCTGTCTGTGAACAGTCCTTGCATTATCGTGGCGTAATAATGCTATTTAAGTGCGGATTAAGTTAAAGAGCCTACGCTGCATTAACAAACACAGTGATAATGTAACACCAAGAGAAATATAAAGGACCATATAGCAATATGACATCTTTTCAGAATATTCTCTTGTGAATACAACATTAATTTAATGTGTGAATGTGTAAAAGGCTTGAATATCCATTTTTTAATACAATACAGCTAATTCTGTATTTTTTAACCTAATTCAAAACACAGTAAACCCCTTCCATCTCTTAAAGGTCCAGTGTGTAACATAATTAGGAGGCTCTATTGGCAAAAATGGAATATAACATGCGTATTTGTTTTCATTTGTGTATAATCACCTGAAAATGAGAGGTTCTTATCTACAGAGGGAGCGGGTCCTCTTCCACGGAGGCCGCCATGTTTTTCTACAGTAGCCCAGGACGGACAAACCAAACACTGGCTCTAGAAAGGGGCCTTTTGTTTCGCTGTCACCGTAGTTTCTCCTTATTGATCTCACTGCTAGATGCCACTAAATCCTACACACTGGTCCTTTAATATTTATGAATAGCTCCTGTCAAAGTCAAGACTATGGTGATCGATTGCACAACAGAAGCAAGTTTCAAGATCCTGCTAACAGATTCTCATATTGTATGTCATAGATGCCTGGAGCAGTTGAAAACACATTCAAACCTCTACAACTTATAACAGTGATATAAGAATGTATGTGAGTTGTTGTAAATAGACTAAAACATGCAAAATCACTGGCATAATCCTTTAAACACACAATCCTGGTCAGTGCCACTAAGATATTAGTTTGCTACCACTCTGTAGAGTTCTCATTTCCTCTGTCTGCGGCTCCAGTTTTCCACTCTTAAAGAGTTGCATACTAGTAACATACTAATTGCAGATGCTGTGTTCTTGGTGTATTTTGTTCTAACTGCTATCTGGTGCTCTAATACAGAAAGGCAATCATCAGTATGGGGAGCTCTTTAATTCTTCTTGTTTAGTTATACTATATAATAAGTATATAATCTGTTTTTTATCCGCTGGGTTGTTTCTGCAGTGTGTTTATATTTTATCTGAATTTGAAGCTGTTCATTTTTTTTTTTTTGTGAGAGCATTTCTTTCTAACAAGCTTCCTTTTTTATATAAACAGGATATAGAGGTAAAGACTTCACTCACAAAATCCCTGAATAAAAAGAGCCAAGTCACCTAATCTTTTCTAAATTAAAGTACCATGGGCCTGGAGCGACTTACTGTTCATACACATAATGCAACACACTACCTAGCCTATTATTTATCTTAGCATGCATGACACTTGCTATGTATGTTACATATAATGATGTTTATTATCCTATTTACAGAGAGTTTTGGAGGCAATCAAACTTGTTTTGTACCTTTTTATGCATGTGCTTTATATAAATATATTTCTTCTTATTCTCACTGTAATCATTTTAAAGGAGTTTCTGTTTAATAAACTTTTAAATACACCTGGCAAGTAATAGTTTCAATTAGGTGATGTGTCTTATGTGGCTCCTCCTTGGTATTGTTGTAAAACCACACCCCAGGGGTTTTATTGGATGACTGGTTTCAATTGTGTTCGTATTTATATTTGTACAATATGTTCTTTTAACTTCGCTGGCGTCTGTTTGGTATGGCAGGGAGTGGCAGTGAGCTTAACTGAGTGCAGATTGAGTGTTCAACTTTTACAGCTTGCTGCAAACCTGTCATACTGTGAATGTATGAAATACAAACATTATAGCATCCAATTGGGAGGTAACAATAAACTCAACTCACGATTCAGTACAATTCAATTCATGATACTGGGTTCAACGTAGGATTTTCTCACAATATGTTTTTCACAAAATGAGATTGAAGTTTCTTAAAACAAAAATGTACTAAATATATTTTCTATTGTATTTTCTTTTTAATTTAAGGGATCCGTTTTTTATTTCTGAGGTAGAGCATAAAAAACCCAATGCATAATTCCTTTTCTTTATGAAAGTGAAACCGGTGTCTTTGTGCCTTGATACAGCTACTGACGAGAGTGATGTAAGTCAAAGGTAGATAGTGCCTTCAGAGTATCACAATTCTCTCTCGATTTGAATCTTCACATATTTGTATCGTGATTTAACTGTACCGTGATATATTTTTACATTACTGGCATCCAACCACAATGTCATCAAAAATCTTTTGAAAACCCCAATATGAAAAACACTTCTTTGGAAATACCAAAGAATACCAAATCAAACCAATCAATCAGTTTATTTCACCAGGATTGTCCACTCAGTGTCACTATTGTTTTCCAGAAAGTCCTGGATTTAGTACATATATTATTATATATATATATTATATTGATCAATATATATATATATAATATGATATATATATATTTATATATGATAATATATTGATATATATATATATATTTGATAAATATATATATATATGATAATATATATAAAATATATATAAATCATATATAATATAAAAAAATATATTATATTATATATATATATATATTCTAATTACACAATTAAAAGCTTGAAGACTGTTCCCTTGTAGACCTGTTCTTGAACGCAACACTTAAGGTTGTAGGGATTTCCAGAAGATGTGGATCTTATAACAATAAAATCTTTATTTATCTTAATTAACTAAACTAAAAGATCAGTGTGTAAGCAGTCAATAATGGAAAATTAAATTAATTAAGATCCTAAAGCGTGTTTTTTTTTAAGCTGTACACTAAATTATATGACTGTACTGTCATGAAACTACTGATGAACCACATTAATACCAGTTATGAAAATAAGAAAAATGCCCCTGAAGGGACCCAGGCACTGTGCACGTGTTTTGAA